CAGTCTCTGCGGTGTTCAATCGTGATGTGAGTAGGTGATGTGCTGCTTTGCTCCGTGTTGGATGTGTGGACTGCCTCGTCTGCTCTCCGCTGCTGCCTTGCTGCCTGTCCCGCTTGCTACACGTGGTTCTCTGCTAGTTGTTGTGTTCGCTGCTCGCTGCCTTGTCGCCCATCCGCTGGTCGTGTGTTCAGTGTGTGTTGCTTGTGTGCCTTGTAGGTGTTGCCTTGTGCTTCGCTGCACTGTTGCCGGGCTGCTTGTCCGCTTGCCCTGTCGTCCCGCTTGCAGGGTGGTTGCCTTGCTTGCGTTGCCTTGTGCTTCACTACACGGTTGCTGTGCTGATCGTCCGCTTGCCGTGTCATTATTTGCAGTCGACTTTGACGTTGAGCAGCCCTGTTGCCTCTGCAGTGTTGCCTGGTGCTTCGCTGGGTTGCTGCCCACAGCTGTGTTCCATTTGGGGGCCAGTCTGCCTTCAACAAGAGTCAAAGGGTTCATGACCAAAACCATCCAATACGTAGATTCCGCAGATTGTCGATGGTTCAGCCTCCTGACGAGTCGGTGCAACTCTGACAAAACAATCTATCATCACTTCTATTTTTCACAGTCTTGGTTTGTATTTTTTTTGGTTTGCCTGTTTTGTCTGCTTGTGTGTCGTCTGCCCACCCGCTTCGCCCTCACCCTTTGTCTTTGGCCATGAATTGTTGACCCATGCCTTTGTGTGCCCAGTGCCCACCCGCCTCCCCCTGGCACTCCACGCTTTGCCCTTCGCTGCTGCATGTCGTTCTGTGCCTTCTTGATTGTCTTCTGTCATTGTTTTTTTGTTTTTTTTTTCCGTTCGCTGCCCTGAGCTGTTGCTATTTGTTCATTGTCTTTTGCCTTCCTTTTACGGTCTTCTGCCCTTCTCTGCAGAATCCATGGCAAGTTCTTTACAGAATGACTCTCTCTCTCTCTCTCTCTCTCTCTCTCTCTCTCTCTCTCTCTCTCTCTCTCTCTCTCTCTCTCTCTCTATATATATATATATATATATATAT